TGTGAATCAGTTAGATTTAAATTCTAAAAGTAAGTGTCCCTGATTCAGTAGTTATTTGATGAGTGTCTTCTAGGTGATAGGTGGAGTATAGGTGCTAAGCAGCAGTTCTGATAATCCCAACAAGCAAAAGACAAGTATAATTCCTTTTCTTTTTTAAATATATTTTTGTTGATTTCACAGAGGAAGGGAGAGGGAGAGAGATAGGAACATCAATGATGAGAGAATCATTGATTGGCTGCCTCCTGCATGCCCTCTACTGGGGATTGAGCCTGCAAACTGGGCATGTGCCCTTGACCAGAATCAAACCTGGGACCCTTCAGTCCGCAGGATAGTGCTCTATCCACTGAGCCAAACCGGCTAGGGCTGGTGTAATTCCTTTTGATGCTGTCAACCACAACATGGCACTTTGCATGCTGAGAAGTAGAGCTTTTAAAGGGAGAAATATACTTTCATGAGATGGTATTAGAAAATCTTGTTCTAGTAATAGGTGGAACTATAAGAAAATCCAGTGTCTAAGAACATGTAATTTTCACTATTTGTAGTATCTGTTGTAGGATAATGCATTAAGCTGCAATAGACTTAACGGCTCAGAACATTTATTATCTCACTAGAGGCCCGGTCCACAAAAAATTTGTGCACTTGGGGGGGTCCCTCAGCCTGGCCTGTGCCCTCTCTCAGACTGGGACCCCTCGGAGGATGTCCACCTGCTGGCTTAGGACCGCTCCCTGGGGGATCGGGCCCAAGCTGGCAGTCAGACATCCCTCTGGCAGCCTGGCAGTCCTCGGGGGATGTCCACTTACCAGCGGGGAGCAGACCTAAGCTGCAGTTGGACATCCTTAGTACTGCTGAGGAGGTGGGAGAGGCTCCCGCCACCACCGCTGTGCTGGCAGCCATCAGCCTGGCTTGTGGCTGAGCAGAGCTCCTCCACGTGGGAGCTCACTGACCACCAGGGGACAGCTCCTGCATTGAGCAACTGCCCCCTGGTGGTCAGTGTGTGTCATAGTGACCAGTAATTCCCAGTCTTTCTGCTGTTAGGGTCAGTTTGCATATTACCCGTTTATTATATAGGATAGAGGCCTGGTGCACGGGTGGGGGCCGGCTGGTTTGCCCTGAAGGGTGTCCCGGATCAGGGTGGGGGTCCCGCTGGGGTGCCTGGCCAGCCTGGGTGAGGGGCTGATGGGTGTTTGCAGGATGGTCACACCCCCTTCAGGGTGGGGGTCCCCACTGGGGTGCCTGGCCAGCCTGGATGAGGGGCTGATGGCTGTTTTCAGGCTGGCCACACCCCCTTTAGGGTGGGGGGTCCCCACTGGGTTGCCTGGCCAGTCTGGGTGAGGGGCTGAGGGCTGTTTTCAGGCTGGCCAAGCCCCCCGGCAACTGAAGCTCCCAGCCTCTCCTTTTTTTCTTTTTATTCTGGGATTTATTTACCTTCTATAATTGAAACGTTGTTGCCTTTTGCGGAGGCTACAGCCGGCCGTGGGAAGCTTGGCTTCCTCCATCACTGGAGCAATCAAGCCACCTGCTCGCTCCAGCTCTGTGGCTACGGCCAGCTGAAAGCAGGTATCTGGGGTTTATTTATCTTCTATAATTGAAACTTTGTTGCTTTGAGTGGAGCTCAGAGCCGCCACGGCAGGCAGGAAGCTTGGCTTCCTTCATCATCGGGGCAACCAAGACTCCTGCTCACTCCAGCTCCCTGGCTGCCGGCCGCCATCTTGGTTGGGTTAATTTGCGTATAGTCGCTCTGATTGGCTGGTGGGCGTGACTTAAGGCGTAGCAAAGGTACGGTCAATTTGCATGTTTGTCTTTTATTAGTGTAGATAGTTTGGGTGTGTCAGAAATTCAGGAGCAACCTGACTGGGTGGTTTTGGCTCAAGGTCTTTCATAAGGTTTCACTCAAGATTTAGGCCTAGAGTACAGTCATCTGAAGACTTGATTGTGGATGAAGCAACTACTTCCCAGCTGGTTCAGTAACATGGCTATTGCCAGAGGACCTCAATTCCTCAAGAATTGTCAGTTACTCCTCATGTGGACCTTTCCATAGAACTACTTGAGTGATCTCATGATGTAACAGCTGGTTTCCCTCAGAGAAAGAGAGCAAAGGGAGAGCAAACAAGGATGAAGCCACAATGCCTTTTGTGCCCTAATTTTTTAGATCCCGAACTGTCACTTATATCACATTATCTTTATTAGAAACAAGTTACTAAGTACAGATCACACGTAAGGGGAGCAAATTAGGCTCTGCTTTTTTGAAGGGTGAAGTATTAAAGAATTTGTGGGTATGTTTTAAAACCACCACATTATTCTAATAGAGGTTTGGTGATGCTTTTGGGGATCAGGAATATTTGTTCATTTTGTTCATTGTTGTATCAGCACTGCAAATAGTGCCCTGGAACATGTCAGAATAAAGCCTTATTCCAAAGAAAATACTCATGAACTTAAGTCCATAGTTACCCTTTAAGATTGCCATTTATTGTACTGTAAATGTATAAAGATTCCAGTTAAGATTTTTTTCTTATTAAAACAGTATTAATTAGAGCTTTTATTTTTGCCAGTATGATTTTTTAGATATATTTTCACCCTTTATCTATTGCTAACAGTCTGACTCATTCAAGTAGAGCAGCAGTCGCCAACCTTTCGGATCTCATGGACCACAGGTTGGCGACCACTGAGATAGAGGATTACAACTTGTTGCTAAATTTATAATTTACTAGAGGCCCGGTGCACGAATTCGTGCACGGATTCATGCATGGATGGGGTCCCTCAACCTGGCCTGCACCCTCTCGCAATCCAGGACCCCTCAAGGGATGTTGGATTGCCAGCCTGTGGGGATCAGGCTGAAACTGGCAGTCCGACATCCCCTGAGGGATATAGCAGTTTCTAAGTGGCAGGCGGCTGGGGAGGATCCCAAGCCGCAGCCGGGTGCCCCGCCACTCATGCTCCCCGCTGCTCCAGCCGCCGCTGCCTGCCGCTGCTGCAGCTGTGCTCGTCAGCTATGAGGCCAGCTTCTGGCTGAGTGGTGCTCCTGCTGTGGGAGCACACTGACCACCAGGGGGCAGCTCCTGTGTTGAGCATCTGTCCCCTGGTGGTCAGTGCATGTCATAGCGATCAGTCGTTCTGGTCAACTGGTTGTAACAGTTGCTTAGGCCTTTATATATATAGATATGGGGGAAATGTATGTGTATACTCTATGTATGTTAATAGCTATCCATGGCTAGACAGATAACATAAATTCACTTACAGAACTATCGTCTTCTAATAAATATGAGTTGGTGATAGGAAGTTAGCAATAGCTCAAATATTTAAATCAGGTATTTAAATAAAAAATTAAGTCCTTATCAAACTTTGAGAAGAGCACAGATAGCAACTTTTGAAATAGTAAATAAGTGTATTAATTTCAAAACTGCAGAGGGTCTTTTAATATTCTTACATGGTAGATTTTGATTTTTCTAATTTAGACTAGGTTCTTATTTGGGATTAAAATACCTGAATGATCAATTGACTAATGTAAAGCATAAGTATATCATTATTTACACACATTAACTTTTAATTGTCATAAGCCATTATACATTACTTATCATACATTATACATTGTATACATTATATATTAATCACCATAAGCCTAAGTTTGTATTCTTAGGTTTAACTTTTTTAATAAACCAGGGCTAAAAGAACAATATAGTGCTTGATGGAGAAGCAAAGATATAACATAGTGTACTAGAGTACCAAATAATTTGATCACATACCCCAGCCAGCACTTCTCCAAATAAATTTGCTTATTTACTTATTAATTGTGTGTGTTGTTGTTATTGTCAGTCTTAAGGATGAAATATACTTACAGCAAGATTTTTCAAGAGGAGATGTAAAACTGTTTTCAAATGGTCATTTTATAGTTATACTAGTGGCACAGTGCACATTGAAAGGGAATTAATCTGAAGAAATATTTTAATACCGCTATTCACCCTTTCTCTATAATAGAAGTGTCAACCAAATTCACGATCGACAGTGACAGATTGAAACACACACGTGTGATTGGCGCTAGCGAGAGCTTTATGTGTATCGTGCATACTCAAGTCAACTTAGCCTTGCATATATATATATATAGAATAAACTTGCTTACGTAGACCTGCTTTCTGATTTAGCTACACTTTTTCCAGCCCAGTGAAGCACCCCAACTTCTCTTTCAGATAATTGTCAGCAACACAGTGGTAAATACCAATATGAAGTAGGTTATTATTATAGATCACGAAGGGAGAACAAAGGGTAAAATATGTAACTGCAGCAGTGTTTGACTATATTCTACGCAGTGAGAAAACCTGAAGTCATTTTCAAGGTCCACCATTTCTTCTTTCCAGTTGGGTCAAGTTTCTAAACTTTCTAAATCTCCCTTTTCCAGCTAATGAAAAGAAAATAGGATCCCACTGATTCTCCTATCTACCTACTGTAGGACTTCTGTGAGGATCAAATGAGATGAGGCACAGGAAAAGGCTTCACAGACATTTGGTTAAAGTGTAAAATGTTTGGAGGCTAGTTGCTAGAAGCTGAGTGTTGCTAGGTGACGTCATTACTCAGCGCCCACAGTGACTGTTTCTGGGCTGGGCTGGGCTGTGGGCCGCATTTTGTGCCATGGGGTCTCGGCAACGTTGGCTGTGATTTGGTGGGCTCTGGCTCCGGGGTGGTGTTGGGGCCTGTGTCCCACTTGGGAGAAGCCGAGTGTTGCTTTGTCAGCACCAGGTCCACGGTGCTGTTTCTTTGTAAATGGCCAGTGCGCATTACGGCAGCTCCTGCATTGAGCATCTGACCCCTAGTGGTCATAGCGGATGTTCGGAGGGACACTTAGCATATTAGCCTTATATATATAGATGAGGTTTTTTTACTAACTTGTCTGATCAGATTTTTTGTTGTTAAAAAGCTAACAAAGGTTTCACTAGAAGCAGAAGTATTAATTTTGCCTTTTTGTTTTGTGCTTGTGTTGTTATTTTGTTTAATCCATTGTTTCTTTGTAGGAATCTTCTGCAGCTTTATTGTGTGAGTAAAAACTAAGTCACATCCAAAATTCCATTGAACTGGGCACACAAAAACTGTCATATATGTCACAGTTTACTGAAAAAGAGCCAGCAGGTAAGCAAAGTATCTCTACATTGAGGACTTTATATTTTTCCCTCCAGATACCTCAGTGTCATACATGACATGTGATTATGGTCTTACTTAAGGCCAGTTTTTCCTCCATATGTTAAATATTTATAAAGCTGCATTTCTAATTTTTTATATGAAAATAAGTGCAAGTAGAAATTCTTATATTTTCCTTTCACATACCCTTGGCTTCAATTGTACTTTCCACTTTGGAGACTATTTCTTTGAAGTTATTGTTAAGGTAACTGGATCTGGAGTCATATTATTGTATTATGGAGCAAACTACTTAAATACTTAATTTTAACCTTAATTTTTTTTATCTTTAAAATAAACTACAGTATTTACCTCATTAGGTTGTTGAGGGGATTAAATAACATAATGTGATACTTGCTATTGTATTTTATAAGTACATGTTTGTTTTTCTTTCATGCTTGGAAGCAATTATACTTCTTATTTTAATGCAATAAAAATATGTAACTATCGAATTTATTGACTATTCCATATACTGTGGGATAATATTTTGTTTAGTTCCCGTATTGTATACACAAAATCAAATTGACTAAGTAAACTTATACTTAATACATATGAAATAATGTCATATTTAGTAAAAGATGCTACTGTTTACTACTATTATTTCTCAATCATCATAACTTAGTATTCAAGTTATTCAAATGTTGGTGGCTTTTCTTACCATAATGAATACCATTGGTAATTTTGAAAGGTGGGGTAGCATGTATTTGACTTGGCTCATCATTATTTTCTTTTAGAGAATTTTATCTGGCCCAAACTTATTGGACTGATTTATGGTGGGTCCAGTTGGTTCTTTTTGGTATTATATATACCGTTTAAAGAAGTTAAATGTTACCTTTGACATGAATGTATTCCTCTTAATGTAATTGAAACCATCATCATATCATGTGCTAGTAATGAAATCAACAGATATGTATTGAGCACTTATATGTAAGGTACTTTTCTGAGATAATTTGGAGAATCATTTTCCAATCCTTAATGAGCTTTTGCACTATAATAGTTTTGCATATGAATATCTTTTTTGGTAGGTTACATTATAAAAGTCTTAAATACCTTAAAGGAACCAAACTTTAAAAGATATTTTTGTGGGTAAAGAGGCCACATAACTTTTATAACATAGTACATATTAATAAGGTACACTTGAGAAAATGAGAACTGCTTGCATATTAAAATATTGGGTGTTGATTATTTTATTTTTACTTTGTGTTTTATTTTTTAAATAATCTGTATTGAGAGAGTATTATTATATAAACATGAAGACTTCAATATAAGTAATTTTTAGAAATTGGTTGACACTCTTGAATTGCTTACTAGTAAATAAATGAAACTTAATTTACAAAAAAAAAAATAAGGTACACTTGATGTTTAATAGCATGTGATTTGGCAAGTAGCATATATGTTCAAACAGTACCCCCACCAATCACCAGTATGAAAGTCATTGCTGTGACTCTTATTTTTAACTCTATTTTTCAGCAATGGATCAAGAATCCAACAAGGCTGCCTGGCCCAAACCAGCGGGAGGATATCAGACAATCACAGGCAGGAGATATGGAAGAAGACATGCCTATGTCAGTTTTAAACCTTGTATGACAAGGCATGAAAGAAGCTTGGGTCGAGCTGGTGATGACTATGAAGTGTTGGAACTAGATGATGTTCCAAAGGAAAATTCCTCAGGTATGTACCACAGAATTATTTAAAAACTATTAATAAGACCGAATGAATTAATCTTGTGATATTTGAAATTGTGAGTGGGTTTTATGTGTGTCTATGAGTAAAAATGCTGTACATTTCTATGAAGAAATTCTATTCTGAAATTTTTAATTAATTTAAATTTTTATTGAATTAATATCCTATATAATAAAAGGGTAATATGCAAATTGACCCTAACAGCAGGACGACTGGGAATGACTGTCACTATGACACACACTGCCCACCAGGGGACAGAAGCTCAATGCAGGAGCTGCCCCCTGGTGATCGGTGCGCTCCCACAGGGGGAGCTCTGCTCAGCCACAAGCCAGGCTGCCAGCTGCCAGCACAGTGGTGGTGGCGGGAGCCTCTCCCACCTCCTCAGCAGCACTAAGGATGTCCAACTGCAGCTTAGGCCTGCTCCTCGCTGGCAAGTGGACATCCCCCGAGGGCTGCTGGGCTGCCAGAGGATGTCTGACTGCCAGCTTAGGCCCAACCCCCTGGGGAGCGGGCCTAAGCCAGCAGGTGGACATCCCCGGAGGGGTCCCAGACTGCGAGAGGGCACAGGCTGAGGGACCCCCCCGAGTGCACAAATTTTTGTGCACCAGGCCTCTAGTTAATATTTAAACATAGAAGAAAATAGAATATGGCCAATTATCAAAATATAACTACACTTTCATATCAGTGATTACATTGTCACATCCTTCAACCAGAGGAAATCATGTTTTAATCAAATACATTTTTAAAATGTTAACTGAGTATATTTTTCCCTGCATATTAAGTTTAAATTTTGTTTTTTAAAATTGTCTCTTGAAGCAATATAGCTTGGCTCATTTGATTTTTTTAAAAAATCATTTATAAAATATAAATGTCAACTAATTCTTAGTTAAAATTTCTTAACCATTCAGTAGTTTGAAAAGTATTTTGCAGATATTCATGTATTAAAATACATGATTTTGGACTAGAATGCTATCTTCCTCTTGTTCTGAACAAACTTGATAATTCTAGATTATTTTTACTGTCATCTATAATAATAAAAGCATAATATGCTAATTAGACCGACGTCTTCTGGAACACCTTCTGGAAGAAGCTGGGGCTGCAAGGGAAGCCCAGGTCCCGGGTGTCAGAGGGAAGCCGGTGCCGGTAGCTGGGGGAAGGAAGGCCTACTCTTGCATGAATTTGGTGCATCGGGCCTCTAGTTTATATATATATATAAAAATCTGAATTATTATGTAAGGTCATTCTATTAAAGAAGCCTGTTGGTGATAGGACAAGACTGATCTTCAGTTATTTATAATTTATAAATTTTTGTTCAATAAATTTCATGTCTTCATTTTTATTATTCCATTAGTAGTGATAAAAGATACTCATGCTAAAGTAATTTATAGACTTGATATGATTTTATTCTTGTATCAAGATTCTGACAAACTGTGGCAAAGAGAATTAACATTGACTTTTTCATTGTTTTTCATTCATAGCTGTAACATACCTAAAGTTAACTCATTATAGCTATATTACTAAGATATAATCTTCTGAATTGACATCAAACACAGTGCAGTCTCATTTCTGTTATATCTGTAATCTGATCTTATATCTATCATAAGTACTTTGAATTTTTTTTTTTACACTTGCATGTAATAGAAAAAGTTTGAATTGCACAACCCAAGAACTGGGAGGGCAGTGACTTCACATAAGCCTTTTATTGTTTGGTCTTTCATTAGCCTCTGCTTTTAATGTATTTTACAGAATGTTTTAAATATTAGGATTTAGTGGAAAACCTGCAAAAGATATGTGAGATGATACTGAGTGACTACACAGTGGCATAAATGAACTCATAGGGTAACCATTCTGCCCTCCCAGTAAAGTAAGGGTACATAGAAGCACCTGTCAGAGAAATTCTTTTATAATCTCAAAGAGGTAATAATTGATATGATTTTTACTTAAATAGCCAGTATTAAATCAAATTTTATCTAAATTAATCTCTCCAAATATGTTTTCTTTTGTTCTCTACGAAGGTTCCAGTCCATTGGATCAAGTTCAGTCTTCTTTACCCAACAATCCTTTATTTGAAAAAAGTGAAACAGAAATTCCCATTTGTGATACAGCATTGAATCAGACCATTGAGAGCAGTCCATCCTTTGCTGCAGTACAACATAGTGGGGAAGGCAGGGAGACCTTAGGAAGCAGTACAAATCTTCATAATAACTCTGAGGGAGAATATACTCCAGCAGCCTGTAATGCCTCAAGTGTCCAAAATGGAATTGCATTGGTTCATACTGACTCTCATGATCCAGATGGCAGACATGGAGAGGAGGATAATGACCGTCTTCAGCCTTCTTCAGAAGTTGTGGAAGGTGGTAGATATCAGGAAGCTTTGGGCAGTACAATATTTGAGTTGGAAAATGGAGAGGTAGAGGCAAATACAGGTCTTTTACCACCAGTTCCCGCTTTTAGCTGTGAGAAACGAGATGATTTTGAAGAGTTTGATTCAGCTCCTTTAGTGAAAAGTTCTACTGGTGACATTGTCAGTCAAACCAATCAGGAATTTCAGAGGTCCTCCTCTGAAGAGGAGATTATTAGAAAGAAAGAACAAAATAATACTAGCCAGGAGAGAAAGAGAGAAAATTCAACTGAAGATACAGCCTGTGCTCTGGGGCATATTTGCAGTGAACAAAATACCAGAGATAGGGACAACAAGCAGGGAAGTTCTCCTGAACAGGTAGTGAGGCCTAAAGTTAGAAAACTGGTAAGTTCAAGCCAGGTGAACCAAGAATCAGGTTTTAATAGGCATGAGGCTAAACAAAGAAGTGTTCAGAGGTGGAGGGAGGCTTTGGAAGTTGAGGAAAATGGCTCAGATGACCTCTTGATAAAATGTGATGACTACGATGGAGAACATGATTGTATGTTCTTGGATCTACCTTTTGCACGAGTTACACAGAGTGAAACAGAAAATAACCAAATAACATCAGAAAGTGGAGCCACAGCAGGAAGGCAAGGAGTTATGGATAACACCTTTTGGAATGGCTGTGGAGATTATTACCAACTGTATGACAAAGATGAAGACAGGTAAGGTTTTATTCAATACTTTGTCAGATCGTGTAGTGAGCGAAGTGATTTCTTTCTAGTACAGTGATGTTTGATGGATGTATTCTCTGGCATCTCAGGGAATTAGATATTTTAACTTATCAAATACTTTTAAAAAATGTATAATTTTATTGATTTCAGAGAGGAAGGGAGAGGGGGAGAGAGAGATAGAAACATCAGTGATGAGAGAGAATCATTGATTGGCTGCCTCCTGCATGACCCTGCACTGGGGATTGAACCCACAATCTGGGCATGTGCCCTGACGAGGAATTGAACTGTGACCATCTGGTTTGTAGGTCAGTGCTCAACCACGGAGCCACACTGGCCAGGTTTAAATATTCTTATTTACCAAGTGCTAACCATACATGCAAAGTAGTGGTTAGTTTTTTACAGAAACTGTCTTTGAGGTATTTCAGGAGTTCACAGAAATTATAACCAGGTGATTGTTATTACAAAAGAATAGATACTAATTATTTTAATTCTTTGTATCTCAATTAATGAATTGCAAGGTGAACATTTATCATAGTTTTAAAAATTCTGTGGAAAACCAGTCTAGGTATGTTGTGTTTTTTTTAATCCTCACCCGAGGATATTTTTCCATTGATTTTTAGAGAGAGTGGAAAGGAGAGGGAGGGGTAGAGAAACATGGGTGTGAGAGAGACACATCAATTGGTTGCTGCCCAGACTGGGACCAGAGATCGAGGCTGCAACTGAGGTATGTGTCCTTGACCTGAATCAAACCTGGGACCCTTCAGTCTGTAGGCTGACACTCTATCTGCTGCACCAAACCGGCTAGGGCCATAACTTTTCTTATAATAAGCATTCTGATCCCTGTTACCTACTTTTTTCTATTTTTCCAAAATGTAAGACAACAGAAAGAGAAATGGAGAATTTCTTTGTCCAATTGCTGAGTCTATTATCCCATAGTCCAAATTTCCTTTTAAGCTAGTTGAAACCCTAACTATGATCAATTACAAAGCAATTTCAAGATTTTATTAGCTTGTGGAAATAATTATTTTTTAACTAGCAGGTGCAACAAAGGAAGACATACTTTAGAAAATGAATATATTTTATGCATTTTATATCATAATAAAATTAATAAAATATGTTATTTTCTTTGGACATATGAATTAACTAACTTGTAGGAACAGTTGAAATAGAATACCTGTACTATCATGGAAGTTTGTAAACTTTAAGGCTTAATAGACTATATTTTTGTAACCCACTGTTTTTTAAGTTAAGGGTAAAGATAGTTAAAAACTTTTGTCTGACGTTTCCATTTTTCCAGTTTAAATCCACAATCTTTTATCCAAAATCCACAAAGTTCTAAAAATGGATGTTGGCAGCAAAACCTGACCTGATGTTAAGTTACTTGACAGCAGATCTGGGTCTGAACTAAAATGAGGCCTTTTTTTCAAGTATTTATAAATTTTGTTGCAGTATTATGAATGCTTGATTACTGGGTGCTGGTTTAGACCCACTGAGAATTGTTAGGTAATGTTAGGTGGGTGGGAGGGGGATCTAAATCACAAAACATAATTATTCCTAAGACTTTTGGATTGGATTGTTAACTCTATTTACCTTGAAGTTACTATTAAACAATAAAACAACTTAGTCTTAGATAATTTATCTTTTTGAAAGTATAAGCGTGTTGCATTTTTCCCATTACATTTTTTGCTTTTTTTTGAAGAAAGTCATTTAATTTGGCTGTGCCCTCTCCACTGTGGACACACTAATCAAAAATAAAAACCTCTTTTGTTTGCTTTTAATAGTCAGGCATAATGTCATCTAATGAAGTTAAAATTTTTATGCTATTTGCCAACCTAAAGAAAAAATGTAGTTTTCTTGACTCTTGGCTTTTAAATTGATTCTTTTTGTGACTGGAAGTGTTTTCTTTGCTTAGAATAACTCTGGGTTTTTTAATAGTTATAGGGTATTGTATTAGCATACATATTTGTAATTTTTTTCCTTAAGTGAAATGTCATTAATCTGAACAATAATAGATTATTTTACAAACAGACTATACAGATGAGAAAAGTACTTATAGTTTAATAGAAACTTTTTTTTATTAACTTTTAAGTAATACATTGACTTATAGAACCTGTAGTTGGGTGTGCTTAAATGGTTAAAGTAATTTTGGAGCACTTTTAAAAAACATATTGAAATGCCAGAAACAGGATTTTTTTTAAAGATTCACCACAGAATAAGTGTAATGGTTCTATTTAGGATTCCACTTATATTTTCATCTATAAGTCTTTTTTTAAACATATTTTATTGATTTTTTATAGAGAGGAAGGAAGAGGGATAGAGAGTTAGAAACATCAATGAGAGAGAAACATCGATCAGTTGCCTCCTGCACACCCCCTATTGGGGATGTGCCCACAACCAAGGTACATCCCCTTGACTGGAATCGAACCTGGGACCCTTCAGTCTGCAGGCCAATGCTCTATCCACCAAGCCAAACCGGTTAGGGCTCATTTATAAATCTTAAGATATGTTTTAGGACTTCATTTCAGTAGTCACTACAATTTTAACGAGGAATTCTATTTCTATCTTAGTGTTTTCAGTTCCTCTGCCCTTGCTCCCTGCAAAGGATCACAGTTGCCAGATGCCTTTAATATGATGCGAGATAAAGATTGAAATTTAATAGTTGTAACTCCTGTTTAGTTTCATTTTGCCAACTGTTCATCTACCTGATGTTTTACAGTAGTCCTGCTCAGTTCTGATATTAGCAGTTTGGAGAAATGGGGAACACAGTCACTCTACCATAAGTGTTTGAGAAAGAAAGTACAAATAGCTTCTGGTTTGAATCTGCATGATTTTTTTTGAGTGTTCAATGTTTTGTAAAACTTATAGATGATGTACTTGACAAATATTTTACGTTTGTATTATAACAGTTACAAATTGAACTCCCTTATCAAGAGTATAACTAAAATTTACTGTGATATATGTATAGATACAGAAATTTTGGCCACTTTAGAAACGTATATATTCTTTATCAGTGGAAAGGCATTTTAACCCTTTGCAGTTCAATTTTATTTTTGGAATTCAAACAGTCTGGTCCAAATTAATTGATGGGATTGAATGTTGAACCGGTTTGCGGTGTCGACCTCAGCCTCGACGTTGGAACTGCCGACCTGGTCTGTTGAGTCAGCCTCCACGTTGGACCGAAAAGGGTTAATGAATGCATGACCCTATTCTTCCCTGAAAAATTTGAATGATCACTTAATCACATCTGAAACATTACAATCTATGGGAAAAGCACTGCAGCTGGTAGCATTGCTCTGAGCTGTTTGACAGGAACTGAGCACCACCTTATTAAATTAGAACTGTAAGGGGAATTTTAATAGGCAGCATATAATTACCAGACTTGGAATTAGACCAAAGAGCTAAGGTTAATATCCTGCTTTTTTGAAATAAACCCTGAGAACTTTAATAACTGTTGAGATCTTGAGTTTAAAAGGACCTTTTAGCCATGTCAGTACATTTTAACCTTGGGCCTAACTGTTCTCCTAACCATTTCTTATAGCACTTGAGGTTTCTTTCACAGTTTTTTCTGTCCCTATTTAACCTTGCTTAAAAGGTAAAAAACTTACCTCAGACAAAAATATTGTGACAGCTTTTTTTGTTGTTGATATTGGGAGAATAAAAAGAGTATTAGCTATTTAGTTTATTTCAATTTGATATATTCAAAAAAGATTTATTGAAATCCTCCTAAGTGTCAGACTTTGTTCTGGGTATTCTGTAAATGCAAATGATCATTATTTCTGTTTCCTTGGTGTTCACCATCCTAATGAAGAAGACAAGATGTACCGGTAATTATCATGAGACTGAATTAAACTCCTTTCCTCTTCTATATAAGTTAGGTCAGAGCCATGAAGAAAGATCTCTGATCTTCCTGTATTGAGACAAATAAAGTATCTATGAGCAGCCAAGACAAAGGTCTTAAAACACACAATCTAACATTTTAGCACACCTTTTCATCTTATTTCCAAGTTCATAAAAGTTTAGGATTAAATTAGGGATAAACAGCTTTGTTCTACAGCAGCGGTTCTCAACCTGTGGGTCACGACCCCTTTGGGGGTCGAATGACCCTTTCACAGGGGTCGCCTAAGACCATCAGAAAACACATATATAATTACATATTGTTTTTGTGATTAATCACTATGCTTTAATTATGTTCAATTTGTAACAATGAAAATACATCCTGCATATCAGATATTTACATTACAATTCATAACAGTAGCAAAATTACAGTTATGAAGTAGCAACGAAAATAATTTTATGGTTGGGGGTCACCACAACATGAGGAACTGTATTAAAGGGTCGCGGCATTAGGAAGGTTGAGAACCACTGTTCTACAGGCATGCTAAGGGGTTACAGATTATAATATTCTGATATTAAGGGAAAGAACCAGAAAGTTGTAGAAAGCAGGTACAATTCAAAAAAGATACCACTTTGGGCCTTATTTACTAAATTAAGCAGGCTTGTATATTTAAACAACTCTATATGTATCGCTCTATTACAATATAGTTAAATGTTAACAGTGGTGAAATGTCCTAGACCCGTGGTCGGCAAACTGCGGCTCGCGAGCCACATGCGGCTCTTTGGCCCCTTGAGTGTGGCTCTTCCTAAGCCTTATGAGTACCCTAATTAAGTTAATAACAATGTACCTACCTATATAGTTTAAGTTTAAAAATTTGGCTCTCAAAAGAAATTTCAATCGTTGTACTGTTGACTAATGAGTTTGCCGACCACTGTATAGAGGAAGACAAACTAACCAGTTCCTTGAGGGATTTTGTGAAGAAGAAGTTCCTTTTGGTTGGTTTTACTTCTAGATCTTATTTCTATCTATGATTTGTACATAAATTATTTGTTTAGAAATCACATAATTTCATTCCATATGTGTAAAAAGTTTTTGGGTCACAACTGAATGTGTAAAAAGTGTAACATTGTAATGTTATAGTGGTCTGCTTTTTAATATAGCTCTAAATGTTAATGGGAGACAGTACTAGAGTGTATGAAAATTAAACTGGTACTTAATTTAGTTTTTCTTTTGAGAATTTAAATTTTTAACTCATGTGTTTTTATAATCAAGAACAAATGGTCCTCTAACCCACAATTATTTCATATCCTACTTGTTCTGTTGCTTATTCTCTTTGAAAACTTATTGTTAAATTCTTTCTTTTTGCTTTTAGTTTTATGCACTCTTTTCACTCTTTAGAAGATAACTTTGTCTCCTGCTTTCCTATAGATACTGAAATAGTTAACCATGAACTTTCTTGTTTTCCTCTTCCTTATATTAGAATATCTCAGTATTTCTATTTTCAATTTTTTTAGTGAAGAGAGGTAACTTGTCTCATTCTGTACCTGCAGTCATATCTGACACCTTACTTATCTATTATCCTTATTCCTAGGTTGCTCCCCTCCAACTCCCAATCACCAGTTTTTCTAAGTCTGGGGAAAACCTTCACTTGATCTTGCTCCCTCTATTAACTACTTGCCCGTTTGTTTTTCTCTCTCATTGCTGACTTTTCAGAGTAAATGTTCTATACTCATAGCTACCCACTCTTCTTAAACACCTCCAAATCTATTTCTCAGTATTATTTGTCTATTCTGTAATGTTAACAGTTACCTGATTATCACAGTCAGGTGACTTTTTTCCGTATTCATTTTCTTTTACTACAGTGCTACTACTGAGCTTGCTCACTCACCCTTTCCTGCTCCACAGTTTCTGTTCCATCGACATATGTCTCCTCCAGACCCCTGGAGGCTTTGTGGACCAAAAGATAAAGCGAGGATATTGTGTAGGCACTTTTGTAACCATTTTAACATGAAAAACAAAACACAAAAACCATTCTTAGCTTCCAGCTCATAAAAATAATGGACAGGTGGCTAGATTTGACTCATGGTTCAGGGCAGAATTTACTGACCTCTGGTGTAAAGAGACTAAAATGAAAGCTAATTGGATAACCACGTGGCTGATATTACCATTTAGTAAGACAAACCAGAGGATATAGACTTTCTTAGGTATAGAAAACAGAAAAATGGTGGTGTGCTGGTTGGAAATCCAAATGAAAGGTCTAGCAAACAGTTTATATAATGAAGAAAGTAACTGCCACCTTTATTAAATGTTTACCCTTTTCCAAAAATTGTGCTAGCCATTTTATCTATAGTATTCATTTAAACATTACTATAGCCCTGGAAAGTAAATATTAATTTTCTCATTTTACAGATGAGGAAAAGTGAGTTTAAGGAAGTTAAATGCCTGGGCTTATATTATTAGTAAGTACTGAGCCAGGATCCTAACCTAAATCTTCTTACTTCAAAGCTTGTGTTTAGCAATGTGGCATTCCACTACCAGGGGTAAAAAGAGGCTGTCATAGATAGAACTTTCACCTGATGTAAAATATATAAATATAGTATTTTGTTTCTTTGGTAAGGAAATTGCCTGTGGTAGGTTCTTTGTTTTCTGTTTGTTTTTGTTTTCTTATAGTAAAAAAAAAAGTAATCAGAGTTACACAGGCTCCTCTGACTAGCTCCATCTGAGCCAATTTGGACTTTTAACTTAATAACTAGGAGCCCAGCGCGTGAAATTGCACAGCACCGCCCACCCACCTGCAGCCCTGCCTTGACACCCGAACCTGTCCACGCAGAGCTCCAGTGTGCCTGGCCCAGCCCCCAAATCCTCTGGCCTTCTCTGGCCACTTCAAGCCCTGCCCTCAGTCCCTCAAGTCACTTCGGGATGGTCCCGCCTTCTCTGGGTGCCTCCCTGCTTTTACACCGTCTCCAGAGGAACGCGGCGGCTCTGCCCTGTCATGGTGCCGGAGGAGAGCGTGGAAGCCTCCTGCCTGCTGTGCTGTGTTCCTTCCCCTGGCAGGTGGGCCGTGGGGCTCTCTGAGTGCGAGCGGTGGGTGGCGAAGGACTGGTGAGGGGGGACACTATGGGCTCTCACCCTCGCCCTCCCTGGCATGGGATGGTCCCGCCTCCTCTGGGCACCTCCCCACTTTAGCCCAGCTAATATGCTAATGGTCCGGTCATTACATGTTACGGCATCCCGACCATTAGCATATTAGCTCTTTATTAGTATAGATCAGGGGTGGGCAAACTTTTTGACTCGAGGGCCACAATGGGTTCTTAAACTGGACCGGAGGGCCGGAACAAAAGCATGGATGGAGTGTTTGTGTGAACTAATATAAATTCAAAGTAAACATCATTACATAAAAGGGTACGGTCTTTTTTTTTTTTTTAGTTTTATTCATTTCAAACAGGCTGGATCTGGCCCGCGGGCAGTAGTTTGCCCACGGCTGGTATAGATAGACCTTAAGTTTGAAATTTGTCATAATGTTCAGAATGAAATACTAATAGAAGAATGAAATACTAATAGAAAATTGTTCATGTATTACTTTCTACCACTTGTATCACAAATGCATATTAATTTCTGGAACATACTTTTAAAGAGGATTAATTTTTGGCCCTTTGATTTCTTTTTAACATCAGTAATATTTTTGCCTTTGGTAGTATGGTGCTTTTAAGAGTAGTTAAATGTAACCAGATTAACCAAGGTTAAATATAACCAATAAAATAATTTTCTGAGGTTCATTATTAACCCCTTATCATATGTTTTGGTTTCTTACCTAATATTCTCTTGAATTGAAATATATTTTGGGTTCATAGTCCTACCAAAGAACTTCACTAAAGATTTGTCAGTGCTACTTTATATGACTTTGAGTGTATCTTCATTTTAAAGTCTGTGAAAAAGGAAGGAAAAAATAGTTAAGCTTCTAAAACATGATAATAGTAGAAATTTATTCATAGAAGACATTTCATCATGTTTAGACAGTTGTTTTAATTAGAAAGTTGTTTTAATCAGGCCAGGTGAATAATAAATCTATCATTATTTATTTTATATAGCATTTAACTTATAATTACCAAGTTAAGTTTAAATTTTTACTTAAAAATATGTCTAAAATATGAAGAATCTATATTTTGGCACCATGGAATTACATACTTCCATGAAGAAACTAATAAATTAATAATTTCGTAACTTGCCGTGCCATATGCTATCTTCATTTGAGAAGGTTACATTCTGCCCAGCTGGAGTGACTCGGTTGGAGCATCGTCCCTTGCACGTTCAATTCTCCATCAGGGCACAGACCCTAGGTTTCGGTTTCTCTCTCTCGCTCTCTCGCTCTCGCTCTCGGTCTCTCTCCTCTCTCCCCTCTCCCCTCCCCTCCTTCTCAGCATGTCCTCAGGTGAGGATATAAAAAGTTACATTCTGCTGAATATATTTATTTATTCATTTTAAAAATTAGCAGCTGAAAAAAAAATTAGCAGCTGATGAAGAATGTGTGACATCAGTAGTCTATACCATGATGCCTGGTTAACACTCCAAATGATAAATGCTCATACCATATAATGACAATTTATTTTCTTTCTGTTCTAAATTTCCAGTTCAGAGTGCAGTGATGGAGAATGGTCTGCTTCTTTGCCGCATCGATTTTCTGGTACAGAAAAAGATCAGTCCTCAAGTGATGAAAGTTGGGAGACTCTACCAGGAAAAGATGAAAATGAACCTGGACTACACAGTGATAGCAGTAGTCCTGAAGAAAACCAAGAATTATCTCTTCAGGAAGGGTATGTTTAACATTGAGATCTATTGTTTTAAGAATGCTATATATCACATTCAGATGTTGGGTATGCTATTAAATGCATTTACAAGCCCTGTGTAGGACCAGTAGGTCCTACTGATTTTTTTCATTATGGTTTTAGTGTGTTACAAAGAACAGTCAAATTGAAAATACAGGCAATTTCAGTACCTTCTATTAAAATACAGTATGTGTTTCCACTTTGCTTTACTAAAGAAAACTTGGTCATTGAAAAGATCACTTTGATGGAGTTAGGTATGAGTGAATTAGAGCTATAATTGCTATACAGTGGCTATATACTGTGAAATGCCAAATAGCAAATATTTTCAATTCTACCATTGTAGTGTAAAAGTAGCTATAGACAATGAGTAAATGAATGGGTATAGCTGTCTTGCAACAAGATTTTAATTATATAAACCAGTGAGTGACAGGCTAGAAATAACCTATGGGCCACAGTTTACCAACCCTTGCTCTAGTTATTTCCACAGTAAGAGTGATTCTGGCTTTTAGGTTGATTTCACACACACACACACACTTTTTTTTAATTGCACCAAGGAAGTACCTCCGTTATTTTATAGATTTCTAGCAAGAATGCTTGCTAATTTTATTAAAGTCTTTTTAGCATCAGTGGAAATTATAAGATTTTTCACTTTTAAAGAATAATTCTTTTACTGTATTTCTTTTTTTTAATATATTTTATTGATTTTTTTTACAGAGAGGAAGGGAGAGGGATAGAGAGAAACATCGATGAGAGAGAAACATCGATCAGCTGCCTCCTGCACACTCCCTACTGGGGATGTGCCCGCAACCAAGGTACATGCCCTTGGCCGGAATCGAACCTGGGACCCTTGAGTCCTCAGGCCGGCACTCTATCCACTGAGCCAAACCGGTTAGGGCTACTGTATTTCTTAATATTTAATTGCCCTTGTTTCATGAAATAAACTCAACATGATCACATAATCATGGTTTATTCTCATTATAGTGAACTGCTGGATTCTGTTTGCTAATATTTTACATAGGATTTTAATATTGAGAGCCATTGTGCGAATTGTTGCTAGTTTTTTTTTGTCTTGATAACAATTTGATACTTTGCTAAAAGATTATGTTTCCTTTATTTCTTTTTGAATTCTTGGTGTTTAAGTAGATTATTTATACCTTTAAATAACTTATTCATTCCTTTAAAGTTGTTTAAATAGCTTCTTATTTAAATAGCTTGTTTATTCCTTTAAATGTTGTTAGTATTTGTTTGTGAAACCTAGCTTGGTGATGGAGTAGCTTTGTGATCATTTTAATTTTTTTCTATGATAATTAGTTGGTTCTAATATTTAGTCTCATGGGATCGATTTTGGTGAATATGTTTTCTTAGGAAAAATCTTTCAGCTTAGACTAATATTAAAATTAGTATTTCTCAAAGGGTATAAATTTCCAGCATGAGATGAATTCTGTAAGAAAATCTGGGAGTAAAACATATTAGAAAATCTGTAAAGAAAGAAATTTACAAATATAATTGTTTTTGACACATTGGTAGGTTGAGGTGGAGTCTTTTGCTCTTCCAGATTATATGTTCTGTCATCTTTAATCACAATTACTTAATTTACTAATACTATTGTTTCATATGTAATTTGTGGTAGTAATTATCTATTCATTCAGCAGATATTTATTGAGCATTTAATATGTGCTAAGCATTGTGCTGGTTCCCAGGAATATATATCAGTCAACAAGACAAAAGAAGATTCCCTTGTGAAGCTCACATTATGGTGGGAGAGACAAATAATAAGATACAAACATGATACAAACTGTGATGTTTAGTCTGAAGGAAATAAAACACTAATTTGATAGAAAGTAACTGATAGGGGCCTACATTCAGGGAGGACTTTCATAAAAATGACTTCTGAGCTGGGATCTGAAAGATAAGAATTAGCAGTTGAGGAAGAGCTTTCTAGGCAGAAACAAAGGTCAGAGCAGAGGCACTGAAAAGGAAAGGGCTTTGTATGTATGAAGATAGTGTAGCTGAAGTGAATGAGATGAAGTGCTCAGGAACCAGACTATGCAGGACATACAGCATCTGGAATTTATTCCGAGATCAGTGAAATTTTAACTGGAGAAGTCATTGATCTGACACACATTTTTAAAAGATCACTCTAGCTGTTTCATGGAGATTGAATTGGAAAGGGATTAAAGGTAAACGGGGGAAGCGGTAAATTTGGTTTTGGACTAGGGGATAATAAGTGAGGATTAAGTAAAGAAAAGAGGTTTGAGAATATTTTTGAGATATAAATAAAAGGATGAATTAGGTGTAAGATGAAGGAGGAATCAGTCCGTTATGGCTGGGTGTTTTGGTTTGAGCATTGGGTAGATGCTAATGTCACTGACTGAGATGGAGAAGTCTGGGGAGAGAACTGGGAAGTAGGAACTCTTTAGAAGTTTTAAGTGACATTTGGACAGACGTACAGTGTAAATGGCATGTAGGCAACTGGATATTTAACTTTCAAGTTTAAGGAAAATGTCCCAGATTGTAATTAAATATAAATATTATATGGGTATAAACAAAAACACATTTGTAAATCATCAGCTACTTGCATTGATATCCTATAATAATAAAACCCACTAAGCCCTAACCGGTTTGGCTCAGTGGATAGAGCGTCAGCCTGCGGACTGAAGGGTCCCAGGTTCGATTCCGGTCAGGGACCATGTACCTTGGCTGTGGGCACATCCCCAGGAGGGAGTGTGCAGGAGGCAGCTGATCCATGTTTCTCTCTCATCTATGTTTCTAACTCTCTATCCCTCTCCCTTCCTCTCTGTAAAAAATCAATAAAACATATTTAAAAAAAATAAAAAAAATAAAACCCACTAATTTGTTTAAAAAAATAAAAGTGGGAGGTGAGAAGTACAGAACTAAAACACTGGACAACAATCATACTTAAGTTGTTAAGGAGAAGATCAGAGGTGAAATGTATTGTTTGGGAGAGGATTGAAAGTTAACTTTTGACGTAGTTTAAATTTGTATGGTAAAATTTCAAAGTTAACCACTATAAGGTATATGTACTGGAAACCTGTAGAGGAGGAAAGAAAGGAATCAAGGTGTGCAAAAGAACACTTAAAGTCAATTTGAATAAAAGGAAAGAAAGGGAGAAAAAAGCATAAAAACAGCAGAAAATAGAGATGAAAAACATAGAATATAGAAACAAGTCCTGCAATAAATATAAATTGCCTAATCCCTGCTTATAAAAGCTTCAGATCGGTTTGTTTTCTTTAAGTTAAATGCTGTTTACAAAAAGCATAAGTAAATAGAAAGAAAGAAAATAAAAGGGTAGAAAATGATATTTCAGGCAAATACTAACTAAAAGAAAATGGTAGTTATATTAACATTAGCAAAGTAGACTTAAAGACACAAAAGCATTATTGGGGAGCATGAGAGTCATTATGTAATAAGTCCAATTTACCAGTAAAATGTAGCAATTTTAATTTGAATACTTCTAATGAAATAGACTTACAATAAATCAAAATTTGACCAAACTAGAGAATATTGACAAACTTACTATTGGGAAATGTTTAAATACGTTTCTCATTTACTGATAATTCATGGATCTAAAAAAATTCATGTATCTTTAGCATATTTTAACAACTCATTTAAGCATGGTTTAATGAGCACTGCATTCTTTGGAATACACAAACATATAAAAACCGAACTTGTACTAGATTACAAAGCACAGATTAACACATTTCAGCGTCATTTTCCTGCCCTCAAAAATTTCTGACCAAAATGCTGTTAACTTAGAAATAAATTCAATTATCCATTCTTTTAAATAATCAGGAGGATAAAGAAGAAATAATAGAAATTTTAAATGTTCACAAGTAAATGAAAATGCCACCAATCAAATTTTTTTGGATGCAATGAAATTGGTACTTAAAGGGAAATTTTAAAAATACTTACATTAAAAAAAGAATAATAACTGAAAATTGAGCTGTGCATTTAGCTTAAAATAGAAAAGGAATGTTAGAATAAACAAAAGTAGATTAAAATTAGGAAAGACAAAAGCAGAGATTAAAGAAATCAGAAGTTGAAACTTTGAAAGATTAAGAAAGATAATCCATTTGGATAGTAAATAAGAAATTAAGGACAAGGCATAAATAAATAAGACTGAAATAAATAAGTGGATACTGCTATAAAATAATAAAGATTGAATATTAAAAGAGTACTGGTAAACTTTGTACCAGTAAATTTGAAAACTTACAAGAAATTGACAAATTTCTAGAAAAATATAATTCATCAAAACACAGGAAGAAATACAAAGCCTGATAATACTATAACTATTCAATTTGGTAATCAATGATTTAAAATCTTCCCATGGAGAAAAACAACTGACCCAAATGGTTTTAGAGCTCAATTCTCTTAAACTAAACTTCTAAGGATCATGTCATTCTACTCTTCAAAAGACTAGAAAAAAATTATTTCTTCAAATCATTTTAATAAGGTCAGTAGACCCTAATACCTAAGAGTATGTGAAGAGAATTATATATTTTTCTTCATTAAAATACACGTTAAAATCTTAAACAGAATTATTGGAAATTTGACTTTGGAAATGTATTGTTTTAAAAGGTAAAACTCAATTATAAATCTGAATTTATTTCAGAAATGCAATGGTAGTTTCACATAAGTATAAATGTCATTCACCACTAGCAAAATACAGGAGAAAATTCATATGTAGATTCTTTAGATGGAGAAAATAAATCACTTAATAATGTTTAATACCTCATCATAATAAAAATTTAGAAACTGGGACTAGAAGAGAATTTCCTTGATTTGATAAAAAGTCTCTAGTAAAAAAAAAATAATTTTCAGTAAGGTAGACTTAAAAAATCCCCGCTTAAAATAGGAACAGACACAGACAAGGGTGCTTACTAGTACTATTTCCATAGCCATTGTTGCTGGAGGTCTTATCATGACATAATGGGAAAATAAAGGGTAGAAAGCTATAAAAAGAAGAG